ATATCACATGAAAGCAAGATTCTGCTGAAGATTATCCAAAAACTACTGGAGCAACACATCAACAGAGAATTGCCAGATGTGCTGGCTGGGTTTAGAAGAGGCTGTGGTACTAGGGATATTATAGCTGATGTTAGATGGATCTTGGCTGAAAGCAGAGAGTACCAGAAGAATGTCTGTGTTTCATTGACAATGCAAAGGCTATTGACTGTGTGAATCACAACAAACTGTGGCTGACTCTGAGAAGAGTGGGAATCCCAGAACATTGAAATTGCTTATGCAAAACCTACACTTGAACCAAGAGGCAGTCATCAGAACAGAGGAAGGAGACACTGCATGGTTCAAAATCAGGAAGGGTATCTGCCAGGGATGTATTCGGTCTCCATACCTTTTCAGTCTGTATGCCAAACAGGTTATCTGGGATGCTGGGCTGTATGAGGAGGTATGTAGTATCAGGATTGGAGAAAGACTCATCAACAACCTGCGTTATGCAGATGACACAACCCTGCTTACTGAAACTGAGGAAGACCTGAAACACTGGCTGTAGAAGGTCAAGGACTGCAGCCTCCAATATGGATTGAAGCTCAACATCAAGAAAACAAATATTCTCACCCCTGGGCCGATTGGCAGCATCATGATAGATAGTGAAGAGATTGAGATTGTTCACAGCTTTAGTTTGCTTGGCGCCACAATCAACACTTCTGGCACCAGCAGCCAGGAAATTAAAAGACGTGTTACAATGGGAAAGTCTGCTATTAGAGACCTTTCCAAAGTACTGAAGAGCAACGATATCAGTCTGGAGACTAAGGTGCGCCTGATACAGGCCATGGTCTTTGCAATCACTTGCTATGCATCAGAAAGCTTGACAATGACTAGGGATGATAAAAGAAGAATTGATGCCCTTGAGCTGTAGTGTTGGAGAAGAGTATTGAATATACCACGGACTGCTAAGAGAACAAATAGATTCATCCTGGACAGGGTTAAACCAGACTGCTCCTTGAAGGCAAGGATTTTGAAGCTTTGTCTGACATACTTTGGACATGTTGCAAGGAGGGACCAGTCCTTGGAAGAGGACGTCATGCTTGGGAGAGGGGAGGGACAATCCATCTCTATGAGATGGATTGATTCAGTGACTGGGATAATGGGGGTAGGTGTGTCAAAGACAATACAATTGGCACAGAATAGAGCAGGCTTTAGAGCTGTTGTACATAGTGTTGCTATGAGGCTCAGGCAACTCGACAGTGCATAACAATAACAACAATGTTATAGAGAGTATCCATTATTTCCACAAATGTAGTAGTCAGTTTAATTCTTGTGTATGCCATCTGGCAAGATGTATTTGTACAGTCTCCATTTATGTTGTTGAAAAAAGGGTATTTCCTGAGAATGAGTCATTGGCCTTACAAAATTATATCATGTGCAATCATGTCCATATTTTCCAATCCCTAATCCTTTTTTGTTTCCAACCAGTGGTAATATTAATGCATCTCAACTGCATCTTTGATCAATTTCATACAACATAAATTAGTAAAAATCTTCAATTTCTTCATCTTTGGCATAAATTTTAATTGGTGCATGCATTTGAATGCTAGTCATTAATTTTTATTAATAATAGGTCACCTTAGTGGACATGCTCCTATTACTGACATCATTGCATTTCAAGATAGGTCTTGAAGTGTCCTGTCTGTAAAGTTGTTATATTGTGGAGGCTTGTGTGTTGCTGTGATGCTAGAAGCTATGCCACCAGTATTGCAAATACCAACCAGTAGGGTCACCCACGGCAGACAGGTTTCAGTGGAGCTTCCAGACTAAGACAGACTGAGAATAAAAATAGCTGGGTATCTACTTCTGACAAAACCGACCAGTGAAAACCTTAGAGAGAGCAGCATTGGTGCTACGGGAAAGCAGTCTCTCTCTGCCGCCCTTGGTGGGTGGATGAGGGATCCTTATCTCTTTTTAGCTCCCATCCCTCAGTTGCTTGGAGATCTCCATGTGGCATCACTCTTCTGCCATCTGTGCTTGCCTGCTTCCATGCCTAATTTGCTCTTTTTGTGTCTTTAAAGTGATTTATGCCAATCACTTTAAAAAGTTTTATATTGGTTTGCATACAAAATTCATATACACTGCATTTCATTCATGCACCTTGTGTTTCGTACATTCCTTCATTCACATTGTGTTTCATATAATCATTCCCAGACATTGTGTACAAAATTAATCAGCATTGATTTCCACACCATATCACCCCATCTTCTCAGGTCCCCACTGTTGCTGTTAAGTGCCATCGAGTCGCTTGCAACTCATAGCAACCCCTTGTACAGTAGCTCTGATCCCTGCTCTATCCTGTGCCAACCTCATCATCTCCAACACACTCCAGTCATTGAGCCAATCCATCTCATCCAGAATCTTCCTCTCTTACACTGTCTTTTTACCCTCCCAAGCATGATACCCCTCTCCAAGGACTGGTCCCTCCTTACAACATGCCCAAAATATATCAGATAGAGCTTCAGAATCCTTGCCTCCAAGGAGCAGCCTGGCTTCACCCTCTCCAGGATGAACCTGTTTGCCTAGCAGACCATGTTATGTTGAGTATTCTCCAACACCACAGCTCAAAGGTATCAATTCTTCTTCTGTCATCCTTATCCACTGCCCAGCTCTTGGATGCATAGCAGGTGATCAGAAAGACCATGGCCTGAATCAGATGCTCCTTAGTCTTCAAACTGTCATCATTGCTCCTCAATAGTTTGTAGAGGTCCCTAACTACAGACTTTCCCAGTGCAATATGCGTCCTAATTTCCTGACTGCTACTACCAAGGGTGTTGATTGTGGATCCAAGGAAGATGAAGTCATTGACAACTTCAATCCTTTCTCCATCCATCATGATATTGCCTACTGGTCCAGTGGTAAGAATTTTTGTTTTCTTGATGTTGAGGTGCTATCCATCCATACTGAAAGCTTTGATCTTCTGCAGCAAGTGCTTCAAGTCCTCCTCACTTGAGAGTTTTGTCTCACATACTTTGTGTATGTTGGTAGGAGAAGCTACTCCTCACAGAAGTACATCATGCTTAGAAAGGCTTAGGGTCAGCAGAAGAGAGGAAGACCTACAACCAGGTGGATTGACACTGTGACTACTGCAGGGGGCTCAGGTGTGTCAGGAAGTGTGAGGATGGCCAAGCATAGGACAGGGCTCAGATCTGTTGTTCACAGAGTTGCTATGACTCATACTCAACTCAACGGCACCTAACAACAATGTTCAGTCATGACAATAGTCCACAGTGCGTGTGGCATAAGCAAGTGCAGGAATGAGTGGATACACAGGAAGCGGGGACCCTCCTGAGAGCTGTAGTCTGAGCCTTTGGGCAGCTGTGCCTGAGAACTAAGAAGACAAAGAGGTGGAGGCCTTTCATGGTGACCCTGAAAGCTACATACTTCCCCTTGGTGCTGCCTCTGGGTGGGGGATACACACACACACACACACACACACACACACACACACATATATCATACCCATTGGGTGTCACCTCATTAGCATTTCTGCTCACCAGTTCCTCTTCTCCACATTCAGGTTATGGTGTCTATGTGTACGCCAACTCTTTCTTTCGCTATGAAGGAGACTGGAAAGGAGGGAAGAAGCATGGTAAGAAAAAGCCCATGTTTCCTTCCTGCACCTGCTACCTTGCAGCCAGCCGAGGTGGCTCCTCAGGACATGGGACAGCCAGTGGCACCACACGAGAGGTCACAGGTTAGCTGGCCTCTGCACACTAGGTATCTGTGGACCCAGCAGGTGCCACCTGGCATTGGCACATTGGAGCTAGTGACAGCCAGTCCCATACTCATCAGATGTGCTGCCCCAGCAGCCAGCACAAGACAGGCAGAAGTGACGGTGTCCTGGAAGCTCCCCCGCAGCTGTAACTGGGGAATCTGCCCTGGAGCCCTAGTATTTCCATTCCAGAGCAAAAACTGAATATGAAGAGGTTATGCACGAGGATATGCTTCGGAGAAAGTGCAGCCAGAGTGCTCCTTGGAGGCAAAGATGACAAAGCTTCGCCTCACATACTTTGGGCATGTTGTTAGGAGAAGCTGTTGCTCCAAGAGGAACATTGTACTTGGAAAGGTGGAGGACTGGCCCTCAACCAGATGGATTGATACCATGACTGCTGCAGTGGGCGTGAGTATGTTAGAGATGATGAGGTGAGGAAGGCCCAGGACAGAACAGGGTTCAGATCTGTTGTTCCTTGGATCAATATGAGTCGTACTCACCTCGACAGCATCTAACAACAACAGGCGTGAGGATGGTGCAAATTAGGGCCAGGCTCAGATCTGTTGATTATTCAGAGTCACTCTGAGTTGTTCAATGGTACCTGATAACAACACATACTTTGGGCCGGTTGTCAGGAGTGGCCAGTCCCTAGAGAAAGATGTTGGGAAAGGTAGAAGGTCACGGGAAGACAGAAAGGCCCCCCAACAGGATGGGCTGACACAGTGACTGTAGCCTGGGCTCAAGCAGATCTGAGATGATGAGGATGGAGCTGGGCAGGGAAAGGTTCGGTTCTGTCCTTCACAGAGGCTCTCTGAGTTCCAGTTGGCTCAATGGCATCTAACAACAATGACAATCTGCTCTTACAAAGAGGTCTCTGGATGGCATGAACAGTTTGTACTGGACCCTTAACTGAAAAGTTAGTGGTTTGAATTTCTGTAGAGGACCTCGGAAGACCTGGCAATCTACTTCCAAACAATTAGGTATCAAAATATTTGTGGAGCAGAGTCCTCCTCTGACATCTGCAGGATCACCTTGAGGCAGAGTCCACTTGACAGCAACTGGAACCGGCTCTTGTTGCAAATCAGTGGACCCCTGAGAGTCGTGTGCCCTGAGCCCATGACAGCCTCTCCCACAGCACCCACCCCAGCATTCTCTGTCACTGTCTGTCTGCTGGTCTGCTCTCACAGGGGTGCTTTTTGTATTTGTTGGCCAAAATAGTAAACCATGGACTGCTAAGAGAACAAATGCGTCCATTTCTAGGAAATCACGCTATTCCTTGGAGGCCAAGATTTTGAAGCCCTACCTGACTTTGGGCGTGTTGTAAAGAGGGAACATTCCTCAGAGAGGGACATCATGCTTGGGAGGGTGGAGGAACAGTGCAGGGGAGGAAGACCCTGGATGAGATGGATTGACTCAGAGACTGTGGTAATGGGGGTAGGTGTGTCAGAGACGGTGAAGTCAGTTCAGGATTCAGAGCTGTTGTCCACAGGGGTCACTCTGAGTCGCAGGTAACTTGGCAGAACATAACAACAACAACCCCCTTTTTAATCTTCTTACCTTCACCACAGTGTTTGTTCCTCATTTTCATATGGGAACCTGTGATTTTTCCTCCCTGCCAGGTGCCCAGGCTTGCTGCTGGGTCAGACTGGGGTAGAGGAGTCCCCTATTTTAAAATCTGCTTCCCCCCATGTCCATGAGCCCCTTTCTCCAACTCCCAAGCTGACTGATGTTAGGGCATGGATGAGTGCTCGCTGAGGAGGATTGGGGATGGTTTCTTGGTTGTATTTTAATGAAATCCACTTCCGACGAGCCGATTCTTACTGGTGGAGGCCCTCCAGCAGGAATCTCAGGCTGTAAAACATAATGACTCTTAATTGGACGTTTCAGTGGTATAGTGTGTAGGTAGGTGGCTGCACTCATAAGCTAAAGGCGGTCCCTCTCCGGCACTTGGAAGCCACCAGCAGTCCCATGGGGGAAATTGGGCAATCTCTTCTCATGTAATTTACGCCTCAGAAACATGCTGAAGGGTCAGCTGTAAGGCATTTCCTACTCAAAGACAATGAGAGAGGAATCTTAATGGAAGGAGACGACATTATCTTTCTCCTGCAGAACGGCTGTCAGATTCGAACCTCTGGCCTTCTTGTTTGCAGCACAACCCCTAACACACTGTGCCACCAGATGTCCTTCAGGGGTGTGTGGGGGTTGGAAACTACCTTCTTGGTAATTATGGAGTGATGGGGCATGTGGGGAGCACGTGACGCCTACAGTGAGTGATGGAGGCCCACACAAAGGCCTCAGTGAGCACTGCGCTCCAGTTGCATCGGGCGGGTCTACTAGCAGCCACCACCAACTTCTCTACATGACTGAAGGTGTCTTTTACTAGGTCACGGCAAATTGTTGTTTAAAGACGGGAGTTACTACGAAGGCGAGTTTGTGGATGGAGAAATCACGGGGGAAGGATGCCGTCACTGGGCTTTGTCAGGTAGCATGGGGACCAGGGTGGGCAGCTCAGGGATTATAGATGGTCACTGAGGGGAGTGAGGGGATTGCTTCTGAAGGGTACGGGTGTTTCTGTGGTAAACAAGGAGGGGTCACTGATTTCCACAGTGGAGCTCATGACAGCGGCAGGCCATCCCAGGGTGGTGCAGGTAGGGTTTGCCCTGGCCAGGGTGGTCAATCTGCCCAGTGGTGCCCTATCTGGTGTGGGAGTTACAGGACACACAAAACTTTGGTTTCCCTAACACTTGATGGACTAAAGATGCAAACCTTCAAAAATATGTGTCCTATATTCTTTTCCCTGCCTTTTGAAAAAAACCCTGTGTTTCATTCATGTACATTGCTTTTTTTCCCTAACCCCCTCCTTTTACCCACCAAACTCAGAAACCCCGTGATTTCCCCCACCCTCTGTCCCCCTGTCCTCTCCTTTTCCTTCTGTGTATCCATACACATCTCTCTGGTGATTTTTCTGTTTTTACAATAATGTTCTTACACAGTATTTATTCTTATGTGCCTGAGTTAGTTCACTCAGCATAAAGCTCTCTATCCTCTCCTATGTTATACAGTATTTTTCAAAATTGTTGCTCCTAAGTGCTGCATAGTATTCCATCATGTGAATGTGCCACAGTTTCTCAACCCAGTCATTTGTTGATGGACATTGGGTTGTTTCCATGTTCTTGATACTGTGAATAATGCTGCTATGAACATCGGTATGCAACTCTCCGTTTGTATCAGTTCTGTTTTCCTTCAGGTATATTCCTAGCAGTAGTACAGCTGGGTCATATGGAATCTCTATGCTCAGCTTTTTGAGGACATACCTTCCAGAATGCTTGTACCATTTTACAATCCTGTGTTTCTATGTGGCATCAGGATCAGAGGGAGACTCATCAATAACCTATGTTATGCAGATGATACAACTTTTCTTGCTGAAAGTAAGGAGGACTTGAAGCACTTGTTGCAGAAGATCAAAGAAGACAGCCTTCAATATGGATTGCATCTCAATGTCAAGAAAATAAAGATTCTTACAACTGGATCAATAGGCAGCATCGTGATAGATGGAGAAAGATTGAAACTGTCAACATCTTACTTGGATCCACAATTAACACCATTGGTACCAGCAGTCAGGAAATTAGGTGTATTGCACTAAGAAAGTCTGCAAGTAGGGACCTCTTCAAATTATTGAGGAGTAATAATGTCAGTTTGAGGACTAAGGTGCATCTGATTCAGGTCATGGTCTTTTCAATTACTTGCTGTGCATCTGAGAGCTGGACAATGAGTAAGGATGACAGAAGAAGAATTGATACCTTTGAGCTGTGGTGTTGGAAAAGAGCACATCCCGTGGACTACCAAATGAACAAACATATGTCTCGGAGAGGGTGGAACTAGAGTGCTCTTTGGAGGCAGAGATGATGAGGCTTCACCTCACATACTTCAGGCATGTTGCTGGGGGTGGGGGGCTATTCCTTGGAGATGAACATGATGCTGGCAAGGGTGGAGAGTCAGTGAAGGAGAGGCAGACCCTCAACCAGGTGGATTGACAAGGGGACTGCCGCGATGGACTCTAATGTGTCACAAAGTGTGAGAATGGCACAGAATAGTATAGGATAGGGTTTAGACCTGTTTTTCATAGGGCTGCCAAGGGTCATACTCGGCTGGATGGCACCTAACAACAACAAAAAGTTTCCTTTATTCTTTAAGGATATTTTAGCCAAACTGCCTGGTCAGTGGTGGGAGGAAAGGGAAGGTGGTAAGCAGACGAGAAGACATCACTGGTACATCGAGGCCGTGGTAGGAGAAGGTACATCTCCTACATAGTAGGAGAAGGACAGATCCATGGTGGGGTCACCCACTCAGTATCATCTAGTCAGAACTGACCCATAGCCAACCCTCCAGCAGTTTTCAGAGGCTGTAAATGGCATGGGAGGAGATTACCCACCTTTCTTCTGGGGGAAGTTGATGAATTCGAACCATGTGCCTTTGGGTTGACAACATAATTCCTTACCACTAGGACCCCTGAACTCCTTAGTGGGGTGGGGATGACGGGGTTGTTGTTGTTTACTGTCTAGTCGGAACCAGCCCCATGAGCCTCCAGTGGATTTTCAAAGGCAGTGAGTCACATGGGAGGTGATTGCCCATCAATCCCCCGTGGCGCAGCTGGTAGATTTGAACCCCATGCCTTTGGGTTTGTAGCACAGCTTCTTACCACTCAAATCTTGGTGGAGAACTTACCTCTTTCCATAGGTGTTTAACTAGCCTGGGAGCAGACCCAGCCCACATGGCTCTGACCAGGCTGGGAGTGGGCCTAGATGGCCTGGTTCTGAGACTGGATGCCCTTCCTCGCCGTGAGCACACTGGGGGATGGGGACTCAGTATATACATGCATGCTGTCGGGGTCTCAGCCCAGCACCCCTGCAGTAACCAGGAAAGAAGGTGGTTTCGACCCACCAGTTTTCCACCACTGACCAGGTGATAAGAAGAGGAGGCCTGTCATCTTTTTTGAAGCAGTCCAGGGAAAGGCCTCCTCATTGTTGTCACTCCAGGGAGAGTGACAACACAGTGACCTGACATCCTGCCCTCCTTCATGTCTCCTCCCCAGAGAATACCTACACCGGACAGTTCCTGCTGGGCGAGCCTCACGGCCACGGCATCATGCAGTACGGAGCTGGCGGGCACTATGAAGGGGCGTTTTCCCATGGCATCAGAGAAGGTCAGTTACCGGGAGTGCCAACATTCCCTCAGCCCTGGGGACCGAGCGTGCTGGGCTAGTCCTCAAGCAGTGAAAGCTGAACTTGCTCAGCTGCCAGCCTGGGGGTCAGGTATACTTACAGGGGCCTTGGAAGAAAGGGCTGGCAATCTTGTTCTGAAAACACAGTGAACACAGCTCTGCTCTGAGACATACAGGGCTGCCATGAGTCAAAACCCATGACAATCAGTTTTTATTGATGCCATTAAGTCGACTGCAGGGGACAGTGACACGAGGCTGTAAAACTTCACAGGAGGACTGCCCCTCTTTCCTCCAAGGAAAGACAGATTCAAACTTCTGACCTTCTGTTTGACATTGGAACACCTAACACACCATGCCAACTGAGAGCTCCTCTGTTTAGTTAAAAAAAAAAAACACACCAAAACCCCCAAACAAGAAGACACACAACTCATTGTCATGGAGTCAGTGCTACTCACAGCTGACTCGCCACTGGGTTTCCAGGCTGTAAAGCACGGGAGGGGCTTGTCCATCTTTCTCCCTTGGAGCCAGTGGTGGATTTGAAACACCACAGAGGCGTGGCCTATGCATTAGAGTGAAATTCCCTACAGACAAACCACCTGGGTGCCATATAGTGCTAGTGCTGTTATGCAGAGACCACAAGTGGTGGCTTATCATCTCACAGATCTGGAGGATGAAAGTCCAGATCAGGACTGGACCCTGTTGGTTCCTTTCTGGCAGATCACCCTGGGCCTTCCTTGACCTTTGGCTTATACAGGGGTCCTCCTTTGTGGTCCATCTTCTCGTGTGTGTACGTGTGTGTGTATCTGTACTGCTCTGTTTATAACTTATAAGTGATTAGATTTAGGACCCATCCTTCTCTGGTCTCACCTCCTCAACATAACAAGGGGGGGAAAACCCACCTCTGTTTACAAACAGAATCCTGTTCACCTGCACCAGGGCCAATCTTCCAGCACCTACTAAGGTAAATTATAATTCAGTCAGTAATAGGGGGTCTGTGTGCCAGCACCCCACCTGAGGTTCTGACTGCCCAACTTAGATGAGCTCAGGAACTTGAGCTCAAGAATGGTATCATTTGGAGGAACCCCTGATCCAGTATGTCTCATGTTGAGGTTTGCACAGGAATCTTGGATGCAGACGCAGAACCATGCCCATCTCAGCCCAGAGTGGTGGGCCTTAGGAGATGGGTCCCTGACCCAGTTTGACCCACTGTTCACTGTGCACACGTCCTTGTACCCATCAGCTGCATAGCAAACCCCTTAGTGCCTTCCATTGGCAAGTGCCTGGGCTCAGCTGGGGCCCCTCCTAAATTACAGGTGACAGCCTGACTAGGGCCTGGAGGTCCCCCAGGGCAAGGGCAGAAACTGCAGACCCTCAAGGCCCTGGTGCATCCTAACAGAGATACTGTTTCCTATGAGTCAAAGCAAGTCAGGGCCTGGGTTCCCAGAGGGGGAGGAGATCCTCCCTCCCTGCAAACCTCTGCCCAGCCCCCGCTCAAGCCACAGCCTGGAGAAGCAGGGCACAGTGGTCTCTGTTGGCTGGAGGACCGTCTGCAGCCGAGAAGTGGGCAGACGGGTTGTGCCATGTGTGGTGTAGACTCAGCCACCTTACACTTGCACTTGCCTCATTGGGCTTAGAGGTAGGCACACTGTCACAATCCCAAGCGTCCAAGCTCTGGAAATGCTGGGCAGTTTGAGGAACCCGTGCTCCCATTTGGACCCCCCTGAGATTGAGATCAGAGAGCTATGAATGCATTATCCACTTCTGGGGGAGTGGAGATTTCCTTTGACCCCGTCAGCAAACCTGCAAACAAATCTTGATTGCAGAGTTGCACAGTCACAGCCACGCACAGAGCATTTCCCCCTATTCATTCATTCATTCATTTATATTTTATACTGGTTTACTTACAAAGTCCATATACATTGCTTTTCATACCAGATCTTTCCCCTTTCCTTTCCCCACCCCTCCCTCCACCCATCAAATTTACACAGAGCATTTTTAGTCTCAAGCATCAAGGTGTTTTGATTCCATAAACATTCATAGCCCATGGGGAAGAACTGTCTTGAGGACAATGGGTGATGGTCATAATCCCTACAAGAGCAGATCACTGCGTCTTTTCTCCCTTGGAGCTCTTGGTGGATTTGAACCGAAGACCTTTCAGTTAACAGTGTGACAACTGTACCACCAGCACAGACTTTGCACTCATTAAGAGCTGCTGAGAGCTGGACCCTGGAGTCACTTTCACCAATTCTGTGGGTTGGGATCATTAGATGTTGGCTCTAAGGTCTGGGCAGCCCATGCTTTGCAATTCAGATTTAGCAGTCCTCATCGGGAACAGTGGGGCCAGTGCCCAGGGGGCAGCCTGGCTCCTGGAGGGCCTCTGAGCCTTCTCCTCATCTGATCCCCTCATTCTTGGAGATGCTAGGCCCTCCCAAGCTGGGACACAAGACACTGGTCTGCTCTGCTTCCTCTCCTAGGACACGGGCTCCTGGTGGACCAGGCCGGACAGGTATACCAGGGATCATTTCACAACCACAAGAAGCACGGACACGGGCAGATGATTTTCAAGTGAGTAAGAGTTGGCAGAGGTAGCATCAGGGGCCCCATAGGTGAAAGACAGCAACTGACAGTGAGTGCACCTCGCCAGCCAGGTCCAGTAGGTGCAGGCAGGGGAATTTGGTCACCCACCGCTATAGCCCATTCCAGCCCCTGCTGGTCCCCAGAATTCTGGCTGTTAAAGTGCTTCTTCATGTTTCTCCTATTCTAGAATTTCTCCTTTATTTCCTGGAATTGTTTGTTTGCTTATTTAGCAGAGAAAGTCTACCGAGTACTTTCCTCCTCTCCACTCCCCTCCACCCGGATAAGCGGCCTCAGGAGGGCAGACGTGCCCTGTGAAGGTGGGAAGTGGGGAGCGGCCCCAAGCTCAGTGATACCCTGCCAGGCACAGGATAGACCCGCAGAAACACATTTCTCAACTCCTCAAGCAGTCTCCCCATGGAATCCTGCCAGTGAAATGTGTGGGCTCACCTTTTCTCTTCCTTCTTCCATTCTCCCCACATTTGGCTGCACAGCGCACTCCGTATAGCAGGAGGGAGTGAGAGGAGGCTGCGTCCAAACAGGCAGTGTGGTCCTGTCCCCTGCCGGCCCACAGCCTGTCAGCCTCAGCCCGGGAGCCTCAAGGTCATGCCCTTGTTCTCCCAGCCGAGCCCAGGCACAGTCAGTCTCCTTGGACCATCTGCTCAGCCCTATTTTTGCCTCAGCCCCTGGGGGTGTGTGCTGAGTGCCAGTCGGAGGGACCGGTCTGCATCACACAGCCACCTGGCTGCTCTGTGCAAGCCCAGTCCCCAGCCCCAGCACAACATCCCGAAGCCCAAGTGCTCCCCATGTGGGTACATTCACCCCCTCAGCTCCAGCTCACTCTGTCTCTGTCCCCAGGAATGGTGACCAGTATGAAGGCAACTGGGTGCTGGATCAGCGTCAGGGACATGGGGTGCTTTGCTGTGCTGACGGCTCCACGTACGAGGTATTGGGGTGCACACTTTGGACCTTCATTGCCTTCAAAGAAGGGGCCCCCTGTCCTTGGGGTGGGATTTCCAAGACCTGCCCTCCCTCCATCATCTCATCTGAACCTCTCAGCAGCCCCATGGGGTAGACATTGTCATCATTCCCGTTTTACTGATGAGGAAACTGAGTGTGAAAGCTGTTAAAGCAATGTCTCATCGCTAAAAGCTGGCCCAGTTAGCACTTTAATCTAGCATGTCTGATTCCAGCAGCCGCCCTCTGATGGCAACGTCACATTGCCTCACAGAAATGAGATCTGTTTCTTTAGGGACTCTCATACCTGCTATGAAAACGTTTCGAACCAAATATGTCCTTGCATCCAAGGTAGGCACCCCTTGTAGCTTAGGTAACCAATAGGCAAAGGGAAGCACCCCTGAGGTGAGGAGAAATGCACTGTAGAGTGGCATGCAGGTGGTCCCCCATCCAGGAATTAAAAATGGGCACATTGGAATTGGTAAGAGAAACCTATTCCTACCATAAGTTCCCTCCAGTGTCCTCTCTCCACAAAGCCTAGCAAGGCACAGCTGGCAAAGGAGAAGCATTTGCAGGGTCCAGCTCCAGTGTCACAGAGCAGGCAGAGAGGGGCCTTGGAGCTAAAAGGCAGAGAGTTGATAGCTGACCTGGCCCTTGCTGGGATAGAGCAGGCCTGGGAAGAGACTGCCCCACGGCATCACCAGAGAAGCTGCGCGAACATTAGACCTCAGCTCAGAAGGCCCAGCATGGCCACTTCCCCACTTGGGGAACAGAGCTCTGTATGTAAAACCGCTGCCTGGAGGTGCTCCTGGGGCAGCAAAGCCCTGGTCAAGGCAGTTAACTCGTGCGTGCCAGTGAGGCTGCCGCCCCAGCTGGCCTGGGCTTGCACCAGATTCAGACACCACTGTAGCCCTGCCAAAGCTCAGCCTCTCCTCCCCTAGGGCAAATACTCCACCATCATTAGGTCCAGCTTTTAGGGCAAGTCCTGGGCAGCTGCAAGTCATCACCTTCATTCTCAGACCTCCAGTGCAGAGCTGCAGTGGGAGAGCCCTGGGCGGGCGTCTCTCCTTCCTTCCCCGCCTCCATGCAGACATGTCTGCCACAAACATAATCATCATGGCACTTTGCAGCACCAGGGTGCTGTGTGACCAAGTTTCTAACCATCACCACCAGGTGCTTGGCTTCAGGTCCTGTGTTGCTGCGCCCTGTTCAAGCACTCTCCATGTATTAACTCATTCAGCCCTCACAATCCCAGGAAGAATGTGTCATTTCCTCACTTTTAAGAGCAAAGATGTCACTTTGAGGACAAAGGTGTGCCTGACCCAAGCCATGATCTTTTCCATTGCCTTATATGTAGGCAGGAACAGGACAACGAGTAGGGAAGACAAAGAATTGATGCATTTGAATTATGGTTCTAATAAAGAATATTGAATGTTCTATGGATGTGGAAACTACAGAACAATCTCACTGATTTCACATGCAAGCAAGATTTTACTGAAGATTATCCCAAAACGACTGGAACAGCACATCAACAGAGAGCTACCAGAAGTCCAGGCTGGGTTTAGAAGGGGTCGTGGTACTAGAGATATTGTAGCTGATGTTAGATGGATCTTGGCTGAAAACAAGGAATACCAGAGGAATGTCTGTGTTTCATTGACTATGCAAAGGCATTTGACTGTGTAGATCATAACAAACTATGGTTGACTCTGAGAAGAATGGGAATCCCAGAACACTTGATCGTTCTAATGCGAAACTTATACTTGGACCAGGAGACAGTCATCAGAACAGAGCAAGGGTTCAAAATTGGAAAGGGCGTACGCCAGGGATGCATCCTATCTCCATACCTTTTCAACCTATATGCAGAACAGATTATCCGGGAGGCTGGGCTCTATGAGGAGAAATGTGGGGTCAAGATTGGTGGACGATTTATCAACAATCTGCATTATGCGGATGACACGACCCTGCTTGCTGAAACTGAAGAGGACCTGAAGCGCCTGCTGCAGAGTGTCAAGGACTGCAGCCTACAATATGGATTGAGGCTCAATGTCAAGAAGACAAAGATTCTCACCACTGGACCAATTGGCAGCATCAGGATGGATGGTGAAGAGATTGAGATTGTACACAGCTTCAGTTTGCTTGGCTCCATAGTCAACACTCTTGGCACCAGCAGCCAGGAAATTAAAAGGCTCATTGCCATGGGAAAGTCTGCTGTTAGGGACCTCTACAAAGTACTGAAGAGCAATGGTGTCTCTCTGGAGTCTAAGGTGTGTCTGATACAGGCCATGGTCTTCACAATCACTTGTTATGCATCAGAGAGTTGGACAATGACCAGGGAGGATAGAAGGAGAATTGATGCCTTTGAGCTGTGGTGCTGGAGAAGAGTATTGAGAATACCATGGACTGCTAGGAAAACAAACAGATTTGTCCTGGAAAGGGTTAAACCAGGTGGCTCCTTGGAGGCAAGGATTCTGAGGCTCCGTCTAACATACTTTAGACATGTTGTGAGGAGAGACCGGTCCTTAGAGAGGGACATCATGCTTGGGAGGGTGGAGGGACGGCGCAGGAGAGGAAGGCCCTCTATGAGGTGGATTGATTCAGTGACTGGGATAATTGGGATGGGAGTGTCAGAGACAGTGAGATTGGCACAGGACAGAGCGGAGTTTAGGGCTGTTGTACATAGGGTCGCTATGAGTCGCAGGCGACTCGACGGCACATAACAACAACAACATGGATTGCCTTTGAGTGATGGAGAGCATGGAACATTTCATGGACTGCTGAGAGAACAAACAAATATATCTTGGAGAGGGTGTAGCCAGAGTGCTCTTTGGATGCAAGGATGGTGAGGCGTCATCTCACATACTTCAGGCACGTGGCTAGGAGGGGCTATTCCTTAGAGAGGGACATGATGCTTGGAAGGGTGGAAGGTCTGCAAAGGAAAGGAAGACCCTCGGCCAGGGGGACTGACACCATGACTGCCACAACGGGCTCTAGTGTGTCAAAGAAGTGTGAAGCTGGCACAGGGTAGGACAGGGTTCAGAGCCACTGTTCACAGGGTCACTATGAGTCATACTCGACTCAACAGCATCTAACAACAACAACAACAACATAGATTGCCAGAAGATCATGCAAATCTGTCTTGAAAGAAGTACAGCGAAAAGAAAAAAAAAAAGTACAGCGAGAGGTGTAGATGACAAGACTTCCTCTTAGATACTTTGGCCGTGTTATCTGGAGTCCGTGGCTGTTTAGCAGAAAAGAAGACCTTCAGCAAGACGAACTGACAGAGTGACTGCGACAGTGGGCTAAGAAGCAGGGATGCTGAGGACGAGGGAAGGCCGGGCAGTCTTTCTCTGTTGCTCTGACTTAGTGGCATTGACGCAATGACACCTAACAACAATATCGATGCGGAAACGGAGCCTCAGAGGAGTCTCTGAATCCAGCTCTGACTTGGATGCTGAGCTCCTTCCTAATCCTTACATTAGTGTAGCAAGCAGAAGAGAGGCAGGCTGCGACCCAGGACAGCACTGGGGGGCCGTGGAGGGGGAACCTATCCTTGTGGGGTGGAGTATCAGTCCTCCCCGGAATCTGCTCCCCCAGGGAAAATGACAAGAGGTATTGCCCCTCCCCCAGCTCCCTGCAGCTCCTCCCACGAACCCCACTCCCCACACCCACTGGACATTCATGTCTGGGCCACATTAGGACTTGTCCACCCCTTCCCTCTGATCCCTAGAAATGGCCACACGGTGAAGAGGGGGACAGGCTTGGGGCCACTGCTCCCCACCTCACCCCACTCCCATCTTCTTGAATGTGCTTCAGTTTGGGGGCAAGTTGGCTCCAGGGCACTCAGCTGCCACTCCAGCGACACACCACCAGGGGGCAGCCCAGCCCCGCTCAGTCCCCAGGCATCAGCCCTGGGCCAGGCTCCTCCTCTGCCTGACGCTGGGTTTTGAAAGGAAGCTTCAGGGCAGGATTTAGGATGGGACCACCCTTGGCCTGCAGTTCCAGGGCCTGGGTGGTGTCGAAGAGGGTGACCCCAGGTGGCAAATCCCCAGCTGTGAGTGCAGGCTTCAGAGCGGGACGTCAGGCACTCGGGTGTTTCCTTCTCACCATTGTAGTTTGGGGACCCTGGAGATCAGCAGACCTGGTGGGTGGGGCAGGCACTTGAACTTGCCCCCTCAGTGGGGAGGCTTGGCTGCCTAGGGCCTCCTTTTGGCCTTGAACTTCTCTCAGGGTGTTAGAAAGTGCTGCTCTGCACCAAGTTGTGCAGCTGCTTGATGGAGAGACGCCTCCGGCACTGAGTGTTGAGCTTAACCTACTTCTCAGTAGCTCAGTGGTCCCGGAGCCTCTCTGCTGTCAGGCCTGCACCCGCTCCCTCCGCCTCCTCTCCGCGGGGGCTCTGAGCCTGCTCCCCACTTGCTCCCACAGCTGAAAGTGGGTGGCAGGAGAGGAGTAGGCCCTGCCTAGTGGCCTTGTGAATGGCTCCCTGGGCCCAGCCCTGTAGTGCCTCTTCCCATTATGGCAGTCTCTCTAAGGCATGTCCCCTCAAAAGTCTCCCTTTCCCCAGATGTGCCCTGGCAAGGTGGGTCCCTATAAGGCATGTCCTTGCTTCCAAAAGATCTGTCTTCTCAAGATGTGTTCCCCGGGCGAGTCCCCACAAAGCCTATCGCCCAGGATGAACCCATGGCAATGCCTGTCCCATCCCCGTGTCCCGTCCCCCCACTCCCCCGTCGACGTTGTTCATCAGCACTGGGTCTGGCCTCTGTTTCAGCCACAGATGAGGATGCACAGTGACACAGGTGCCTGTGACCAGGCACAGGCTGCAGAGAAGGGTAGCTGCCCTCTGTCCAGAGCTGGGCCCGGGGACTGCGCTCATCTTTAAGGATGCAGCTGAATTGAATGGAGTTCCCCCTGGACCCGGCCTGTGTGGAAGGGAGCCACGAGGGCAGATGCCTTCTCATCCCCAGAGCAGTCTTCTCACCCAGTCACTCAGGG